TAATTCTATCAGTTTCATGATTTTTGCATTGCTCTCATTGCATGACTTCGACTATTTGGACAAACTAAAATTATTAAATTACTTCCATAACTTTTGTATTATTTTCGCTTCATAATTTCGATTCATTCTCGAAAAAATGATCATTAAATTAATTTCATTAGTGTTACACTTTTGGGCATCTAATATCAATTGTTCTGAAAAAGATCCTTTTCAAAGAAAAATGACTTTAATCAATGATTTTAATGAGGAATGCATCATGTGTGATGGGTTTTTTTGAAAATCAATAATGAAAATGATTATTATAATTTGAACCTACAAATCTGTCCATATATAGATATATCAGTTTCTTAAGAAATGGAAGGTGTTAAGATAGAAACCATGTTACGCCCTACTATTTCTAAAGTTGGTGAAGTATTTTTAATATTCTATCTATGTATGTGACGATAGAGTAAAATGAACTTTGGAAAAGTTCACGATGTAACCATTTGAAGGATAACTAGCCTAGAGTTGTACAAAAATGTTTGGGTAGAAATAACCTCCTAAGTGGATAGCTAATTACATCAGTTGAAATAAAAGTTAGTTCTTCATTCTATTATTTTTATAACGAGATTTCCATATACTATTAATGGTTTTCATGGAAAATTAACGATTTTCATGCGGGAAAATTTTGACTTTCACTGATGATTTCAAAAGGCATAAAAAATGCTGCCAGTTTCATCATCAAAAATGTCATTTTGTGTCGTCCTTTTTCTGTCGAAAACTTTCCATTAAATTAACATTTACACTGTGATCAATTGTTTTTGTTTCTGATCTGTCTTCGTTATCTCTAGAACAGCTACTCATAATTCAGTAGAAGATTTTTTTTTCTTATGCTTATTGCTACTTGTAGCTCAATCAAGCAAAACACTTGAAAGGTAAATGGTGATATATCGTGAATTAAACAATTAGTTTGTTTTGTCGCCATTCACTAACATATATGCTATGTTTATTTGTGCATTTCTTTCTCAACCGATGTTTTTTTCTGTTAAGAATGCTGTAAAGCATTGAAGTAGCGACACTGTGCGTCTTCCTCACTCTTTAGAAAAAGTCAATGTGCGTTTTGTTTCTTTTCATTTCTTTCTACAAATAACTGCAAGAAGGTAGGAAGACGATTGACATATTGAATAATATTGCTTTTTCTGCAGTTCTCACACGATAGATATTGAAATTTGATATTAGATGAGAGCAGAAACTTCATTATCAAGAAAGTGTAGTAGAGGTTTTTTCGATTCATAAAACAAAAAAAAAACAATGAAGAAGTCTAGTTAAGAAATATAGATTTTTTATACGGTTCTTCAATGGATGGTCACATACTACTGTATGATCAATGAAGGCACACAAATCTAATTGAATAGCATCTCCTACTGTGAGTACATCTCAGGGTTGAACACCTCTCTATTTAGATTAATCGTACTCAAATCTAGTGGTTTTTACTATAAATAGACGTCTCCAGGATACAAGAGAGTGGGGGTAGGGGTGAATGTCTCGGTGTGTGACGAATTTTCTCTTTCATTCACACCCACACCCCAACTAGACTTTTGTGCTTCTTTTGTTTTTGAATATAGTTTCTTATATTTGCATCCAAAATGGAGTGTGGCTGATGCAATAACGACAGCACAGGTGAACACATTGGTATTTGATTATTCAACGGTTCTATTAGGTTATTACTGCGTACATGATATCAATGAATTGATTGATGATGCAGAAAACGAGGACGAATGTTTTTCCATTACTGAATTAAGTCATTTTTTTACTTCGATCTGTTTTTATTATTCGTTATTCCTATCAATTCTTCACTTGCAACCGCAGCATGTATAGCATTCGGCTACATAATTATTGTACAACTTGGTGATCTATGTACCATTTCCATATTCCGCTATGTAGATTTTATAGTTTTTCCAGCTTTGCCTTTCTCAACGATTGCTGCAATTGTTTACGCTATTGCCGTTGATTTCATCATTCAATATTTACCTTTTGACTGTGAAGATTGATGGCAGGATGTGGGTGTAGAATAAGTGAAGAATGATACCAAGACCTGCTTAAACACTTTTCAAGTTCAAGTCTAACTTTTGATTACTGCAAAAGGTTTGATCACCTGTTTTTTGTTTATTTATATGAATTTTTGAAAAGAGGTCTTTCTTTTTCAATTCTGTAATTTTGTAAAGGATACTTGCCTCTTTAAAAGGAGAGAAGTATTTAGAGATACTGTAGAAAAATATTCACAATAATTGAAAACTAAATCCATATGTTTGACAAATCGATAACTAGTGTATAAGCATCAGAGAAAATAGTGCTTGAACCAAACAAACTAAAAATACCATGGAAAAATTCGAACTTTTACAGGTCATTATGGAGGCAAATCATTTGCTTTAATTCAGATCGCACGATCTTATTAATAGATCGCTTTTCTGAAAGTATACAATCAAAAACATCTTGTACACATACGAAACTTCTATGTTCTTCACCAACAATGTAATGCTTATTTAAAATGACAAGCAATCTATGTTATTTCAACTAATTCCCCCTCAAAATTGATCACTCAACGCTTGAAATCGCTCGATTTTTTTCTAAAACGTTCGTAAGAAATATGTTGCTTACAAAGATGCGTCATTATGGATTTGAAGCAATCTATAATGTGTGTAAGGTTAGAAAATGAATAAGAGAAGGAAAGAGGATTGATATTGCACAAGAACAGAACAAAATCAATAGCGTGACGCATCTCTATCATCTATCGTCTATTCGCGTTGTAAAAGAAAAGATATTTTTTTGTATGCATAAACAAATTGTAGACGATAAAAAGCAGTCACTTCCTTTCAACGATGTATGTATCATGCAGCTGATCAACGAGCATATTTAAATATTGTCACTCGTTCTACTAGTCTCATTTTGATAGGTAAGTGAAATCACATGAAGAGACAAAAGTAATTACTTCTTTTTCCTTTGCTTACTTATTCTCACATGAGCAAGAATCGATGTTTTTTTTGCGATTCGAATGCTGTACATTTTCACATCGTAGGCAAGTCTTATCTAGTAAACCATCTAGACACTTTTCTAATATGTGGATTTATCATGATGTTGAAACATGTAAGAGAATGATTGACGAGAAAACATATCCAGATGTCAAAATGCTTTTAGATCGAGTGTATACACAAAAGATAGACCTTAATGAGTTATTAAATACTTTAGAATAATTTGGTTTTTTAGGCTTCCTACACTGAGATAGGTGCTTATTAACTTCATATATGTAGTAGAGGACACTATTGTCACAAAAGTACATATTTTATGAAATTTTTGAAAAATCCCAGTACCCTCCCCGGATTTCTCATAAGAAACTATCTTATCGAAATGCTAGTATTTCCTCGAGGAAAATTTTTAAAATATTTTTTACGGAGGCTAGTAAAGGTTCGACAGCTGATTTATGCTGGATAGAATTTACTTCATATAATAAAATATTTCTATGAATTTTGAATCGAAACTCGAGTATTCTTTCTATCGAAAAGGGGTCATTTTTTTGGTATGTTTCAACAGGGCTTCCAAGACCATTCTCAGAGATTCGGGGTGAATTCTTCGATAACATTGTAGAACTCAATGTATAATCTTGAACCATATGAGCTGGACTTTCATCCATCGTATAATTGAGAGATAAAACCTGTCCAAAAACCGATGTTTATTTGATGAGATATGAATGTCATAAAAACTCACAAACAACGTATTTTTGTGACGGTAGAGTCCTTAGAAATATTGCAATACTTCAGAAAATAAAACAATTTTTTTTCCAAACAGCTTACGTCAAAATTTTTAGAACTTTTCTCTCTACTACATATCTGATTTTGAGCAAGTTCGGTCGTGACATTCTTGAATGTTTAATAACTCATTGAGGTTTATTTTTTGAGTATATACTCGATCCAAAAGATGATTCTTTCTTGAAAACTTAAGAGAAATTAGCTCCTTGTAACTGAATTCCCTCAATTAGTTCTTTCCAAGTTTCTTTCTTCTGCCAATTTTTTTCAGAGCACATCTATTTAGTCAGCAAATGCACCTACGCATTTCTTGTGTCTTGAAAATTTATTTTTTTTTTTCATTATTGCAAGATTTAAAGTCGATTGTTTTCTTATTGAACTGGCATTTTGACATATCTTAGTGCTTCCATCATTTTAGAAAATTCATCAGAAATAATGAACAGAATTAATAATAAAGAAGATATTACTCTGATTTGGTTTGATTCAAAGATTGATTCTAATAATCATGTAGAACAAACAAAGAAACAACTACATCAAATCAATGATTATGTTGTATTCCATAGTCAACTCGAATCTTGCATTAGTTTCATTCAATCGATTTATAATGAAAAAATCTTATTTGTCTCTTCGATTTCTGATGCATCGGGAATATTACCTCATATTACAATTCTACCTCAAATTGATAGCATTTTTCTTTTCAACTGGAATAAAGTTAATAGTGAACATTTATTTGTGGAACATTCAAAACTGATTGGTATTTATGATGAACTCGATTTATTGTGCTTAGCAATCCAAGAACAAATCGATTTTCTCGACCAAAATTTGCAAAAATTCAGCTTCTTTGACCAGGATGAATATTTGACGAAAGATCTATCAAAACAAACTGCTGATCTTATTTGGTTCCAACTTTATCATGACGTTCTCTTTCAGTTAACGCATGATGAAGAAGCTAAGCAAGAAATGATTGATGCAAGTCGTTTGTATTATCGAGACAATATCAAAGAACTGAAAGTAATTGGAAAATTTGAAAATGAACATCGATCAGAAGAAGCTCTTCAATGGTATTTGAAAAACTCGTTTCTGTACAAAATAATCAAAAAGGCATTGAGAACACAAGATTTTGATCAACTCTTCACATTTCGATATTTTATGAGAGATCTAACAGAATGTTTCATTCGAGAACATCAAAAACTTGTCCAGTCTGATACAGAAATACTATTCATGTATCGAGGAATGAAATTGACAAGTGATCAAATCGAACAATTCAAAGAAAACAAAGGTAAACTGGTTTCAATCAATGGATTTTTGACAACAACTACTCTTCGTTCAACTGCATTGAGCCAAGCGATGAAACCTTTGAAAAGAACTGATCTCCTTCCTGTTCTACTAGAAATCCAATGCAATTTACAACAGTTGAGCAACAATGTTATTGTTGCTGATTGCGTTCATTTCAATCAACTTTCATGTGAACGACAACAAGAAATTTTCTTCGATTCAAATGTTGCTTTTCGTTTGGAGAGTATGAGAATGGAGGAAGACATGTGGATGATTAAAATGAGTGCATCGAATGAAGGTCAACTTATCAAAGAAAAATATATTAAAGACTCACATCGTCAAATGGAAGATGTAAGCATTCGAATTCTCTTTGGACGATTGATGTGTGACATGGGTCAATGGGATCAATCACAACATTTCTTTGAACATTTATTGAACAATTCGAATAGTTACAATGAAGATCTTGCAAAGGTTGAACGTAGTCTTGGTGAAGTTCTTCAATGGAAAGGAGAATGGAGTGAAGCAAGAAGATATTATGATCGTGCTTATGAACGGGTGATGAATGTAAAGCCAACACGGATGAAGGATTTAGCTGATATACTTTTCAATATTGGTGAGATTCTCAATGTAGAAGGAAAGTATGAAGAAGCTTATGATTATTATGAACGATCCTTAACAATACGAAAGGAATATTATTCTTCTACCAAGATTGATAGACATTGTCCATCGAATCAGCAACACAGCAATTTGTTGAGTTATGTTGGCGCAGCGTTCTGGTCTATTTTATTGAATTTAGGTGGATTCTTCCAATCGTATTTTGAATGGTTTTGGACTAGATATGTCTTAGGGATTTCTCGTTGGCTCCATTCGAAATGTGCAACAAACATAATGGAGTCTGTTGATAAACAGTCGAGAAAAACTCAGTTACAAGAAATGTGTAAAAACTTACAGGAGACCGGTAGATTACAACTTAGCGAGACTCACTTGGATAGTTATGTGCCTATTGCGATTAGTCTTCGTAGCTTCGGCAAAATTCTTTTTCGACAAGCGAAGTATGATGAAGCACTTATCTTTCATCAGCAAGCACTGACAATGTTCGAAGAATATTATCAATATCCTCATCTTAATATTGCTGTTAGTCTTGGCTATATTGGTCAGGTTCTTACATATCAAGGAGAGTATAATAAAGCTCATGACTTCTGTCAACGAGCAATGTCTATCTACACAAGATATTATCCAAATGGTCATGTATACATTGCCTACATCCTCAATCACATTGGTTACACTCTCTATCTTGAAGGCAAGTATGATGAAGCTCTGAAGATTTATGAACGAGCATTAGCAATACAACTAAAGCATTATCCATCTGGTCATGTCGATATAGCTGATAATCTTGGTGGTATAGGAAATGTTCACTATGGACAAGGAGTTTATGATCAAGCTCTGATATTTTATGAGAAAGTGTTGGAAATTCTAAACAAATATCTTTTTCCTGGCCATGACGCCATTATTTGTACTTTAAACAACATTGGTTTTATACAAAGAGAACAAGGAAAGTATAATGAATCTGGTGATTCTCATCAACAAGCACTAGCACTTCAAGAAAAATATTATCCATCTTATTATGGAAACATCGCTAACACTCTTAATCACATCTCCGAAGTACTATTTGGTCAATCAAAATACGATGAAGCTCTATTTTATTGTCAACGAGCGCTAACACTGCAAGAGAGTTATTATCCTTTGGGTAGTGCCCCAATGGCCTGGAGTTTCAAGAACATTAGCAGCATCTTAGATAAGCAAGGAAAGTACGATGAAGTGATCGATTTTCTTCGACGAGCACTAGCAACTGTCGAAAAACATTGTGCGTCCGATCATTCTTCCATTGCTTTTTATATAAATAACATTGGGATTATATTAAGCAAGCAAGAAAAGCATGATGAAGCTCTTGATTACCATCAAAGAGCACTTGAAATGCAAGAAAAATTTTGTCCATCTTATCAGCGTGAGATAACCAATACTCTCAATTACATCGGTCATGTTTTCAGTGCGCAGAAAAAATATGATGAAGCTCTGAAGTTTTATGAACGTGCACTCGAAATGCAAGAGAAGTATTATCCAAATGGCCATAAGAACATTACGACAACACTCATTAGTATTGGAACAATATTTCGTCAAGAACAAAATTTCGATAAAGCAATAGAATATCATCAAAAAGCATTAGAATGTCAAGAGAAATTATTTCCATCAGGCAGTGTCATCATATCTGATACTATTAATCGCATTGGTCATGTTCTGTACGATGAAAGAAAGTATGATGCAGCAATTGATTATTATCGACGAGCACTTTCAATGCAAGAGAACTACTATCCTGATGATCATATTGAAACTTCTCATACTTTCAGCTTTATTGGTAATGCTCTTTATAAACAAAAGAAGTATGATGAAGCTCTTGAATTTTATCGAAAGGCCTTGGTCATTCAAGAAAAATATCATGAATTTCTTCATGTCGACATCGCAAAGATTCTGAACTCTATTGGCAATGTTCTATACAGCCAAGAGAAATATGATGAAGCTATCAATTTCTATCAACGATCATTAACTATTCGAGAGAAATTCCATCCATTTGGTTATGCTGGCATCGCTACCGTTCTTAGCAATATTGGGAATGCCCTTGATGGACAACGAAAACATGATGAAGCTCTTGACTTCTATCAACGGGCGCTAACAGTTCGAGAGAAATTCGATGCAACTAATCACGATAGCATTGCTGAGAACCTGATCAACATTGCCAATCTTCTAAGAGATCAAGGAAAGTACAATGAAGCTATCGAATTTCAACAACGAGCATTGATAATACGAGAACAACATTATCCTTCTGATCACGTGAATATTGCTTACAGTTTGAACAACATCGCTAATATTGTGAGTTTGCAAAAAAAATATGATGAAGCTCTCGACTTCTATCAACAAGTGCTGAGAATTCACGAAAAATGTTGCCCATCGAATCCTGTTGATATTGCTAATACAGCCATTGATATTGCTCATGTCCTGAGTAAACAAGGAAAATACAAAGAAGCTATCGAGTTTCAACAGAGAGCATTGATAATTCGAGAAGAAAAGTATTCCTCTTGTCATGAGAAAATTGCGGACAGCTGGAATCGTATGGGTCATATTCGATTGGATCAAAAAGATTATAATCTAGCAATCGACTGTTATCAACGAGCTTTAACAATTCTCGAAAACTACTATCCATCTGATCATGTTGATATTGCTGAGACTCTGCGATATATCGGTAGTACTCTATATCTACAAGGAAAGCTTGACGAAGCCCTTGATTTCCATCAACGAGCTGTGACAATTTATGAGCAATACTCTCCATCCGGTCATGAAAATTTTCCTACTTGTCTAGGTACTATTGGTAATATATTGAGTGATCAAGGCAAATATGATGAAGCTCTCGAGTTCTATGATCGAGCAGTAGTACTTTACAAGAAGCATGTATCGAATCATTCGAATACTGCTACTTGTCTGAACAACATAGCTCAAGCTTTTAAAAACCAAAGAAAATATGATGAAGCTCTCGACTTTCAACAACAAGCATTGGCATTTCTAAAAAGTAGCTTATCTCATGATCAATTGAGAATTGCTACCAGTCTCAAGGACATTGCTAATATTCTGTTCCAGCAAAGAAAATATGATGAATCTCTAGACTTTTGCCAACAAGCATTGATTATATTAGAAGAAAATTATGCTAATGATTATATTGAAATTACTGATTGCCTATATTGGATAGCAGCAAACTTTTATAAAAAGTCCCAGTTCGATCTGGCTATTGAATATTTGGAAAGATGCTTATTAATTAAAGAAGCCAGTCTACCTCCAAAAGATCTTTCCATAGCTACCATACTTGAGTGTTTGTCACAAGTTCAAAGCTGGAAAAGTGAACATGAACTCTCTCTCGTATATGAACAGAATCGTTTGTTTATGCGTCTCAACGTTTTACCACCAGATCATGAGAACATCGGTGATAGCTTATCAACCGTAGGTAAAATTTACGAAAGACTTCATAAACCTACATTGGCACTTGATTATTATCAACAAGCATTGACTATCTACAAGAAATGTCTGCCTTATTGGCATAGTAATGTATGGAAAATGAAAGGAAATATTGAACGACTTTCAGAAGAACTTGAAATAGAACTCGATTTACAACATTGACTTTTCAAACATACTTCTTTTCGATTAAACATCATTATTACCTTATAAAATCAAATATTGTTAGAAATATTTTAATAAGAATATGTGGCAGAATTGCATATATCTATTTTCTAATAAAAAATAAATTCATTTACAATACATTATTCATTCATCAATAATCGATTAAGAATACAACAAAGTACATTTTAAGCTAGACTTTTCCTAATAAATCTCATAGGGCTAGCCATAATTCCTACAAGGATAGCATACCATGTTTTCAAGAGTCTGTGAAGAAAAGATTTGTATTGTTATCTAAAGTTTCAAGAGTAAAGTCATGTCTTCAGTAGATCGGCGATTAGTTCACATAAATAATGTGGATGTGAAAGAAGGAGGATGAATAACAGTTTCGGCGCTCATATTTGTCCAAAATGTTGCTCTATATATATGCCTGATGTTGAATGGCATCATCTCGATCTTAAATCGTAAACGATTCGTTATTAGTAGACAAACAACATATTAGCAATATCTCTTTCTTTTATCTTTGTTTTGTTAGACGTAGAACCACTTTGCTCTTTCATCAAACATTTGAAATTGTGAATATTCGTTCGCCATATTTCATTTAGTCATTCACGACTATTCATAGTTGCATATTTACTGTCAACAACAGTTTTCGACACTCTTTCAAACGATAAATATGTCAGAGATAGAATTTGTAGATGATCAAGAGTGAGCAGATTAGATGGACGAGCTTTGCATGTCAGTTTTCAATAACTTAATATGTTGTATTAAAAAATCAAAATATATCACAAGATGCAGTGTGAAAAGCTCTACAATTTATAAAGCACAACTTATTTTATAGTTGTACTTTTTATTTTCAAAATGGACAAAATTCTTTGTAATCAATTTTTAACCCGGTGAACAAGATCATTTACTGGCACACGACAAATTCCTTTTCTTATTCCTTTGGTTAATGAGTCACATCAAAAACGATAATCGATGGCCAAGTTTAGATCAATGAATACATGTTCCAATTATATTTCCTCATTCACTCTTATATTACTTGTTAGGAGCACGTACGAGCTACATAGTAATAAATCACAACTGTATAAGTGCGGTTGGTTAAGAAAAAGATATGAAATTTGAAGATCTTCGAAAATTGATTGCATAGAATTTCAGCAATTTTGAATACAAAAAGTGCAACTATAAACTAAACGGTCTTATGTAAATTGTAGAGCTTTTCACGCTGCATCTTATGATATATTTTGATTTTTCAATATAACATATCAAGGAATTGAAAATTGAAATACAAAGCACGACTATCTAATCTCTTCGCTCATTATCATCTAATACAACCAGCACATATTCTAACAAAACAGATCTTATCGAAAATTTATTATTATGATATTAGTTGAAGTATGATCAAATAGCATAGAAAAATAGAGCATTCTTTTCTTTATCAGACTATATTGAAAGAAAGTTTCTTAAAGCTTACTATACGGTATTAAAGTGTCATTGCCACTAATTTTCGTATGCCCTAAGTATATTTCTACTAAAAAAAGCGATTGATTACATATAGGAGCTTCCTCTTAAAATACTAAGCTAATTGCAAACAATGAATAAATAAGATTTTCTCAATTAATCTCAATATAATAAATGATAGCCAACAACAGGTTAATTATTGACAGGGTCTTCTCTAATACATAAATTATCGTTTATCACTAAACAAAACATATTAGAATAACTGTCATCGATAATACGCTTAAAAGGTTCCATGTACTCAGTATCTGGTTTTTTCTCAATCGTATCTTATATAGTTTAATATGTATTTTTCTTTGATATATTCTCGTTTTGAGAAGAGATTCTTTACATTAAAGAATGTTAAAATCGATTATTCATTGACAACAAACAACAAAAAGGAGTCATTTGATATTTTTGTTTTTGGTGAAATGACGAAACAAAGGTTGAAATAAACAATTAAAACAACGGATTCAATTGCAAAACATAGTTTTTGACGCGTAACAATATTAATTGATTATAATGAAATAATTGTACTGTTAACTACTTTCATATAGAGCCATGATTTCCATTGTCGCAACCTAGTGAGTCTATCGTTAGTTCAATGGATTATATATGTTCATCGTATGATTGATGTGATACAAAATATTTGTCAACGCATGGATTCATTGGATAGCTAATATGAATTATGAACCATTGAAGTACAAATTTATTTATTTTTCATCATTGGATGTCCAACCAGGTAAAATGTTATTGACTGAATGTTCAAGTCGAACAAGCATTGCCGATTATAATGCTTTTTCAAATCGTATCAGATTTAAAACAGATTGTATTGTTAATCAATCAATGATAACAAAATAATTCTACATTAAAATGCAAAGTGTTGATTTTGAAATGTTCGAATATGAAAAGCTTATATATAATTATATGTCAGAAGACTTTATTAATGAGATAACATTTAATCGTATTAAGCCTACTGTTATGGTTGAGTGTGAATGTGAGTGAAGAGATAATCCACACCCACATCTACGCCCCAAGTATCTGTGGGTAAAACCAAATTGAATAAGCTATTGGATAGAGTCTTAGTTGACCAAAACAATTACAAAGACAAACGAAAACAATTTGTGTTCTAGTTGACATTCATCGATAACAGATGTTTCGATTAGGATGAGCGAAATCAGAACTGAACCATTGCACCGAGATCGGAATGGAAACCAAAGTCTGGCAAGATGGTTCCGGCACCCATTGTCAATAGTGTCTTGTTTATGGTGTTCATCAATCGTTTTTTCACAAAAAGAGCAATACAAAAGATTGACTGAGCATAAGATCTTTTCAGAACCTTACAGCGTAAAAATATTAATACTCAATATCGCTTCACAAATATCGTTGTGAGATTAAAAAAATTAATTTTTTTTACATGATGATTGACGTTTATTTTACTTTTTTAGCTTTTGCAATTTAAACTTCATAGCAAATAAAATTATGTTATTCAAATCTATATTTAAACTTGAATCACCAGTATACAGTCAATGTCTGTTTCCCTTTAAATACGGCAAGGATTAAGAAAATTAAACATAGGGCCGAAACTTATGGAACACCTTTAATGATTCATAATCGATTCGATTCATTCGTGAGGCACAATTGATTATTATCAACAGGCTCAAACAATTACAAAATGTATACAAATGAAGATTTAATATCGATCGTAAAGATCAACAACTCAAAATCGGTCAAGCTGTTCTTCTCAAACAAATGATGCCTGAGAACCTGCACAAGTTCTTTCCTAATTATAGCAGTTTATTAATTGCTACTCGTCAAAATGATCGTGAAAAATTAATACACGTGTCCCTAATATGCATCTTATGAAACTAACAACAATATGCATGTACTCATGTCGAATAATCTGACTTACTATCGAGCAGTACTAGTACATGAACCATCAGTGCCTAAACATATTTTACCTATATTCGCTGTCACGTAATGTAGATACGATCAGCTCTCTATTTTTTTATCGTATTTTTTTCTTGTTTTTCTTTTCTCTTTGGACTGATACATTTTTTGACGATATTAATTGATACTTCATTTGATATGGTACCTGATCAACTTCATCTCATTATCGAGTCAATTGACTTCTATATTTTTTCTTTCGTTTTGGTGTTGTGATGAGTGCGACGCTTCATCACGTGGCCATAGAGATATGTTACGGAGTTAATACTAGAGTCATGACATTTCGTCACGTACCTTGCTTCTGTGCTTCCAATCTCGCACTATCTTGCACATTTCTTTCTCTGACCCTCTTTTGTTCTCTGTATGATGGTGATAATCATTTTAGAGGAAGAATATACTCGGGAGAGGCTGAATATAACAGTTTCTTATTGTATTTCATGGCAGAGACAATAGACCCAAATAAAATAACAAGAGAAGAAGCATTGATCAATGCAGGATTCCGAAAAAGGTATTTTGTTTCTTTGTATAAATCAATACCATGCCTATGTTGTCAATCATTGTCAACATATTTATCTAACTGATAGCCAAGAAAGAATAACGGTTTCTGTATTTCGTAAATACTTTAATCAGTTTTATGTCTTCGAGTCGATTCTTTTTTTAAAGGTTCTTTATGTAATTTTCTACGAAATCATACGAAAAGGCCTTGTAAACAAAATAACTATGAAAATCCACTTGGTAATCGTCAGTATGTTTCAAAAATTCTTCTGTCAAACAATTTCTAAGAATTTTTCGTATTTCATGCCCGTCTACGATTGGATATAGAAGAATCAAATATACTTTATTACAACTCTTGGAAAGCATTATAAGTTAAATGATGATGAGATATTGATTAGTTTAAAATCTGCATAAACAGAATGTTGATCGTCTTTTTTCGTAACCGAAATTTTTAAACTCGTTATATGATATCTTTGTCATCTACATGTCATGAAATAAAAGTGTCACTATCCATGACCGAGTTTTCGATAATTTCAAGTATAAGTTTTCTTTCTACCATTGCTAATAAATTAATTTTGAGAAGACAGTTGATTTTCACGACACATTATGTGTGAGAACAAAATATTGAATGATTTCGTCTCACGTAAACAGTTTAAGGAAAAAATCAACATATACTTGATTTTTATCGATTTAAAACATCACTAAACAAAAAAAATCCAGCAGTTGGGATTTTTTTGGATTGATTTTTAAATTAGCAATCGATTTTAATCTGACATTTTGGGTCTTATTTTTACATAAAATATCGTTTTTTCAAAGGAACGGTAAAAAAATCAGATACGAAGAATAAATTTCACTTAACACTGCACAATCCTGTGAGACACTTGTCATGTAAACTTTCATCCGACATGTGACATTCATACACAGTTCTGAACCATATTCGAATTTCATCTCTATTAATTTCTTGTCTTGTTTTTTTTTCTATAGAACCAATGATGAGAACGCAGATGTATACAAAATCTTCAGCATTCTGTATGGCTTGGGTAAGTCATACTCAGCATTGATCAAAAGTGCACAGTAAATTATTTTCAATTTTGATGCTCAAAATTATTCATACACCTGAAGAAAATGATAGAATTACGATTTCTCGACAAGTTTTCGACTGTTTAAACTTTGACCTTCGCCAAAATGTAGACTGAGATTTGTAGTCTATTCCAACAAAAGTTTTATCAAAAACATTCTAGGAAATGATTGTTTATAGATGACAAACAAGAAAAATCATGCCTTTCAGTTTGTCTCAAACTTATTCATACACTTTGTGTAAAAATATATATGTAAATTCATGACTAAAAGATTTGACGTATTACGACAGTGTATCACAGCGATCAATTGCTTACACCTTGTTTTATAGAACCTTCTAAAAGTTAAATTTTTGGAGTATAACTCTACCAGTACTCCATCAAAAGAGTTGATATTTTTAGGAAAAATTACATATAAGAAATTTAAACGAATAATCATACAAGAAATGATGAAAATTGATTAATGCAAAAATGAACCGATTATCGTCAGAAAATGGACTATTTTTTGGATTATTTTAGAGATAAAAATTCACTTGTGAGAAATCGATTATAAATAATTAATCTATCATCGATTTTCATCGATTGTAATTGATTTTTATCAGGTATAATCGATTTATCTTGATTATTAAAGAATCCATTTTCATCATTCTATGATGATTTTATTTAAACAACATTAGACCTTTCCAATTAGAGCCTCCAGTAATAGATCATAAAGTATAATCAATTACAATTATTTTTCCAAAAATCAACGATAATTGAACCATTTTGATTTGAATCCGATATAATGATCATAGATCCGATTTTAAATTCTAATTGGTTCAAATTGATTCCTGATGATTATATGCAAACAAATACAATCATTTGCAAAATAATCATCAAAAACCGAGCTGTTTCGATCCCAGTAGTTATAATCGATTCAGCTTTGTAATCAAATGTAATTGCTGCCTAAATGAGTATGAAGAATCGAGTTATTTTGATTTCAATCATTTACAGTGACAACGCTGTAAACGATATATAGGACTTGTGAATAAACAAACAGAAAGTTATACTATACCTTTATGTTGATGATAAAAGAGACTTTTTATGTAAGAAGCAAAAGATTCAAGAAAATGGACGTAGTTCGAATCATATACTATACGTAGCGCTAATAGACGCAAAGCTGGATAAGCCAAGTCAATCCATGTAAAATTTTTTAGTGAATAATCAGATTATAATTCATTATAAGTTGGATTATAATCAGTCTGACATAAAGGTTGATAAGATATGATTCTATTGAATTAAAAGTAATCAACAAAAAAGTTAGAGAAAGAAATCCATTGATGGATGTCTGATCGATCACATTTGATGGATTCACACCAAATAAACTGAATGATCGGAGAAAATATTATTCGAAAACCACATTTTATGCTGAAATATTATATCAATAAATCCTAATATTTCGATTCAACCCTTTTTTTTCACTGGAGCCCCAGTGTTGAATTCAAATCAACAATGAAAGATATTCGATAATTCTCCTTTCATTAGTAAACCTTCCTCAATTGACAATGACATTGACGAATGTATTATAAAAACTGAATCTTCTAATGCGAAGACGAGAAATTTCAAACCAAATATTGTAAGGCAATGCTCTAACTAGAGAAACCATTGTAGTGTAATCGTATTCGATTAAGAGCTCATCTGTAGACTCTAACTGGGAAAATAGCAAGCAGTCAAACAGCTCTTTTCAGTCTTTGACTATTTATTTTCTCTATTCGATTTTTTGAAAATATAAACTCAAGTTTTGTCCCAAATATAGACTCTCTTTCAAGATGCAGAGACGATTAGCTTAATCTGTTATGATTAAACTAAAAACTATAATCTCTTAGTTGTCTTCATCGGTGGTGTGGCCTTTTCAATTTCGCATGCTATCGTATCAGAAGTAGAAACTGAAATTATCAAACACTTGGCGGAGGTGAATAAATGAATCTCAAAAAGAATTGGGACTCACTAAAAATATTGATCCCATTTTATCGTAGATCTACTTCACCTATCTATATTGGGTATCCATCATTTGGATTATGTTCTGTATTATTGACATCATTCGTCATCGACATAACGTTCAAATTCCCAGAAGCACTTTGAACAGATTGGATTCGAACCAGACGAGTTTAACTGGTGATGTTCGTTTCGCACGAAACAGGCTCATGTCGACATCGTCAGAAGCAAATCGAAAGCCATCGATTACATCCTATATTAATTTGCCATTATTTGATGAATCTGAAAAAAATCAATTAGATGACAACGACAATGAACAATCAGAAATAAACGGCAATAAACCATCAACAGGCAATGATGATACATTTAGTTTTCGTGATCAGCGCAGTAAATTGAAATCTTTGGGCAATCTTTCGCATCGATCATCGGTAACAAAAACACCAACGAATACGACACGAGATATCTTCACTCGACGACGTGCTCTAGATCCCATCGAACAACATAATCTCAAAACCTATGTACTCCATCGAAAAAACAGTATTGTTGAACACATTATTGGTTATAACTATGATGATAATTCCATCGTTGGTGGTCTTTATACTCGTGTAGGCATCGGAAGTAAGCTGTACAAAAAATATGAGATACTGCTGATCATTTAAAAAGATCATTCTAGTTTTTTGTCTTGGTACAGTGATTCATTCGAGTCTATCAATTTCAAGTAATTTGGAAAATCGTTCATGTACACGATGGACAGCTGTAATACATGATTTCTCACGGTTGCTTTTCAGTCTCATCCAATTCTTCTTTATTTTCAAACATTCAAACGTATGTTCTTTTGAAATAATACAATACCAAAAGATAAAGTCAAAGATTGACCCTTATTTAGCTCATTATTCGAGCCCATGAAAGTGTAGCTCGATTGGGAGTCATTCATATTGTGGTCAGCAATTTATGTGTATGGTAGGTCTACTGTCACTCATAATGAGAAAAACCTTTTTTCTATTATCAAGTATTCATTGATGCAAATATCATCTTCGAAAAGTAGAATAGTGAAATCTTTCATTCTTGAAAAGATCTATTGGTTTCTTACTAGATTAAGACATATTTCTTTATGATTGTAATAACGACGAATCGTCATCTATAATTTAGCTATTTCTAAATTTTTCGAAAAAAAAAATTCTAATTTTCATAATTTCATCATTTCAAACATTGATCACAAACGATTTCCATTCTATCATAACATATGTCTACAAGATTTTATTATCATAAGGCAATATTTCATTATATATTTTGACAGGTTTCACATGGTCGTTATTGAAACGAAATCGCAAATTGTGGAAATAAATGATCATGAAAGGATTATGGCACAACACAGTGGTACGGCTAGCTACTTTAATAATGGTAAGCATTTATCATCATTTGTTTTTGTTCATCTTTCATGTACTTTTCTGAATCGAAAAATCAGCCAATCAAGACACAATCAATCTACTCCATCGTCTATTGTTTTTCCATTCCAATTGTTCAAACTTATTTGTAAACGGATCAGCAGTTACTACTTCGATTTTCGAAGGTTACATGAGACTGAAGCCACTTCTATATCCATGTACAATCGAATTTAGTCTCATGTCTCTCACAGTAAGTTCTTCTTGTTTCTAGCTCATTTCTATGTATTCGAATTGATTGATTCTATATAGCTGTTCTTTCTTATCTGGGAAAATATCGGGAAAACATTTATGCATAACATATCGGATAAAGAATCGACAAAAAATGTTTTCATAGTCAATTGTCATGCATCCATCAAAGGTCTCTTTGCTGGAATGATTGTTTTCTCCTGTACAATGATTTCCACTATTCTCTACACTGTTTTCCGAAACAAAATCGGTGATAATAATCATATGACGCCGTCCTTGTTGATTGATATGAATCACGATTATTCTCATATTATCCTTACAAGTATAGTCACAAAATCGCATCAACAACATTCCATGTCTTCGATAATACCTGTTACGATCGCTGTCAAAACTATGCAAACAATACATTACAACATTATCATCATTGAAATTGTGAATTTATGTTTGTTGGCTCTTTCGCTATGTGCCACTATATGGTCATTTATCAAAATTCACAAATTGAACTATCGTCGAACGACGACACGTGAGCAATAGAAAAGAAAAAAAAATACATTGTGATATGTTACTCTATCCGATAGGTTTCGACGATGTTCTTATCATTGTCTCATTAACGGGCATCTATTTGTATTCGATTTTCAGTGCTTTTGCTATTATTAGTAATCTGAATGCATCAACATGGGCTGCTTATATTAAACTAGCAAACATTATTTTAGGTATAATACGTGTTAGACTAGAGGATTGAAATTAGTTATCGATAAATCTGTGACATACTGTACTGATCTTTGAGTCAGTTCAGTTTGCAACGGAATATTGTAGATTTTTTCTCTTGTAGAATTCATCGAAGGTACGGTTCACGCATTGTTCATTCTTATTGCACTACGCAAACGTCAGAGACGAACGAATAAATATGAATATCCGGCGCGTGAAATGATCATTCTATTGATCATGCTTGATCTGAGTCTCTGGTTCGAAAAAACAACGACAACGACTAAACATGAAGCGAATCCATTTCAAATGGCCTTCTACCATATCATACCATGGTCGATCATTGCTGCCATTGCTACACCACTTCAAATTCTTTTTCGTTTTCATGCATCTGTCTGTCTTTCGCATGTATGGGCAAATATGTACTACTTGCAAACCTATGAACCAGTGGTTCCGCGTGATTTCTGATCTTTTTTTTTATATGCCATCATGTTTTATCTCTTTTGCATGGCAAATACAAATCCATGCTTGATATAGATGTAGAATGAACTTCGTTGATCTTTTTCAAGACATCAGCACTGCCAGCTATTGACATCAAACGAAACTTCTTTATCATTTTCTGCTCTGCAAGAGTGGTCAATGGTCGGTTTTGATTCTACTGACAAGAAAATCTCATCAAAGGAGATTGGAAAGACTTAACAGAATCCTCTGCGGATGTGACTACGGCTGTATCTTCACATAGATATTCACACGGATACTCACAAAAGGCTGATGTTCTTGTTCGTGATAGAGTTCTTTTGAATTTTTTTGCATACTGATAACATAAACTCAAACTGATCAGAAAGTATGATTATCAATTCGACTACTCAGGTTGAAAAATCAGATGTAAGATTTTGTAACAACAGATATGACAACATAAAAATTCGTAATTTTAGAAAACGGACATTAATTTATACTATAAGATTTTCTATAATCTTATAGTACGTATTAATATCAGATTTCTAAGATGACGATTTTTCGTGTGATTTCACAAAATCAGATGCAAAATCTTGTCAAATCTTAGTGTCTGATTCAAGCTCATATATCATAATAATAAGGAAAATCAACAAACTTTCAGAACTAATTATTCTGAGTCATGGGCGGCGCAAGGTCAGTTTTATAGGGGTAGCAATAAACTGTT